GTTTTCTAACAGTATCACACCTGAGGATGTGCTGTTGTTGTTTCCTGTTGATACAGATGTTAACAGATGTTTTTCTGTGTGTGTAGAGCGGTAGATGTTTGGGCTTTCGGGTGCCTGTTGCTGGAGATGTTAACGGGTCAGCCTCTGTTCCCCGGAGACTCCGACCTGGACCAGATTTACCACATAGTCCGGTGCTTCGGTAAGTATATGTTAAATGTCACCTATTATGCAAAATCCACTTCTTCATGTCTCTTCTACATCAACATGTGTCCCCTCTTCTTCATGTCTCTTCTACATCAACATGTGTCCCCTCTTCTTCATGTCTCTTCTACATCAACATGTGTCCCCTCTTCTTCATGTCTCTTCTACATCAACATGTGTCCCCTCTTCTTCATGTCTCTTCTACATCAACATGTGTCCCCTCTTCTTCATGTCTCTTCTACATCAACATGTGTCCCCTCTTCTTCATGTCTCTTCTACATCAACATGTGTCCTCTCTTCTTCATGTCTCTTCTACATCAACATGTGTCCCCTCTTCTTCATGTCTCTTCTACATCAACATGTGTCCCCTCTTCTTCATGTCTCTTCTACATCAACATGTGTCCCCTCTTCTTCATGTCTCTTCTACATCAACATGTGTCCCCTCTTCTTCATGTCTCTTCTACATCAACACGTGTCCCCTCTTCTTCATGTCTCTTCTACATCAACATGTGTCCCCTCTTCTTCATGTCTCTTCTACATCACATGTGTCCCCTCTGTGGAAAGAGACTCTGAAAGTTTCAGGAACAAAGATTCTCTCTCTTTTTGATCCATTTCTATAAAAACCTGTCTGAAAATTAGCTGATCAGATTTTGGCCACTTTATGATGTCATAACGATGTGTTGTCTTGTGTAACCATTAGCCAATCAGCAACCAAGGTAACCCCCCCCCCCCCCCCCCTCCTCCTAGAGCACCATTGAGTTCTTTGTAACTAAATCGCTCTCAGAGGGGCGTGGGGAGGGGCTCCTTATTTTCATCTAAAGTAACAGACAGAGAATCAGCACTTTGGAAACAGGGCTGAAACAGAGGGGATTATGGGTAATGCTGCAATCACCTGTTTGGTGTTTCAGCCAATCAGAGACAGGCTCTGGATATATCTGAGACCTGTGATATACTGATGAAGAACAGTACAATAGGGGACCTTTGAATACAAACATGAAATATATTATCTCTGAACTCTCTCAACACACTTATACTCTCTTGGGTTCTCCTAGGTAACCTGACAGCTCATCACCAGGAGTTGTTCTACAGGAATCCCGGCTTTTCTGGAGTCAGACTTCCAGAACATTCTGGCCGAGTCCCATTGGATCAGCGCTTTCCTACAATCCCACCCACCGCCCTGGACCTGGCTCAGGTACATTGACTTAAATGTCCCATTACAAGTATTCACAATCAGATAAAAAGACTGTAAAGCATTCATTGATTTGGCAGAACCAGTAATACTTTGTTTTGATTCTTCAGAGTTGTCTCCACATGGATCCAGAAAGACGCGCCCAGTGTTCAGAACTGCTCGAACATCCTCTGTTCACTCAGGACTCTTTCCACATCCGATTTTTGGACGAGTTGAATGCAAAAATCCAGAAAGACCACAGAGAAAACTCTACCTTTCCCAAAATAACCAAAACCCCAAGACGAGAAAGGAACGAAGGGGATGACAGGAACCGGAGAAGCAAAGAGAAGAAACAAACTGAAGATCTGGACGAGAGAGGCAACAAGGAAAAGGAGAGGAAGGAGGAAGAGAAGATGGAGAAAACTAAAGGAAAGCAACCTTCAAAGCTTTCTAAAACTATTCGAAACCCCTCAGAGCCTCTAATATCAACCAAACAATCCAAAACTTTAGGCGCAAAGATTGATAATGTCGCAAAAACAAATGGTAGTAAAAGTAAAGTAGTATTTACATTGAAATATAATGGAATAAAATATGTGCAGTAAAAGAAACTGATATTGTTGTGATCATAATTTATATATATATCTAATTTTACTCTAATTGCCCTGAGATGTTCATGGATTCATTGTCCTACAGTTGCTTTTTAAACCCCTTTGTATCTGTAATCAGCTTTTTCCTTCTGGATGTTTTGTTTACGCACCAGTTTACCCTCCGCAGGTCAGCAGGTGTTTCTCTGCATTTAAGCCGTCTGTGCTGCCATCTGATCTGCGCTGCATAATTCATGACAACAAGTCTATGGTGTGTTTTCTCTTTTGTTTTCAGTTAAGCTGCTAGAAGACAACCGCTAAAGAAAGACATCTGTGTTCCACAACATCAAACAGGTCCAGTTACGTTCAGCTAGATTCTTATGTTTTAGTTCTTGTGTTTTGGTGTCTTGCCTTGTGAATTTAAAATTGGTTGCGATTTTGGTTCATTTTCCAGATTAAAATGAGAGTGTTTTACTCACCGGGAGTCAAGTAGGTGCTGTGAACTCTGAGGAAGAGGAGAAGAAGGACTACAATCCTGCAGGACATGGTGATAAAAAGTGGAGGAAGAAAGAGGAAGAGTGTTGACTTCAAACTGACTGACGGATATTTAAAGGGAAGGTGTGAAGAGGAGGGAGGAGATATGAAGATGATAAATGTCTAGACTAATGTTTTGACAGGGTTTGTGGTTCTTGAGTTGCAACAGACTTATTCAACTTTATTTATTTAGAGGAAGGTTTAGGGAGCAGCAACGCCCTGATTCACAGGAAGTCAGCAATTAACCAGAATTCACAGGGATTTAACTAAATGAAGGGGTTTTCCACACGTTACCATGTTAAAACATAATAAATACAAATAATATAACCATTTTATTTACTTCAAACGGTACTATACAACCTTTTTTTAACTGGGTAATAATGTATAACATCGCCAGCTGATCCCCCTTAAAATGATGGTTCTATATAATTAAAACTGCGACTACTGCCCATTTGAGCGATGGCCTATTCATCTGAACCTTAAAGATTTCCCATTTGTCAAAAAGCCCAACTATTATGTACGACTACTTTTATAAATAATGTTTAAAAAATGGGCAATATCGCTTACAAATGCAAGCTTATCCCCCCAAAAAAAGGATGGTTCTATACAATTAAAACTGCGACTAATGCCCATTTGACCGATGGCCCATTCATCTGAATCTTAAAGATTTCAATTTTTTTCCAAAGCCCAATGATTATGAATGTTTCGTTTTATAAATAATGTCGTAAAATGGGTAATATTGCTTAAAATTGCAAGCTGATCCCACCCAAAAATTATGTTTTCATACAACTAAACTGCGAATACGGCCCATTTGACCGATGGCCCATTTGACCGATGGCCCATTAGACCGATGGCCCATTAATCTTAAAGATTTCCCATTTTTTTCCAAAAGCCCAATGATTATGAATGTTTAGTTTAATTAAACATTTCTTAAAGCGGGCAATATTGTTTAAAATTACAATCTGACCCCCCCCAAAATTAGGTTTTCATCCAAATAAACTGCGATAACTGCCCATTTGACCGATGGCCCATTTGACCGATGGCCCATTCATCTGAACCTTAAAGATTTCACATTTTTTCCAAAAGACCAGTGATTATGTATAATTACTTTTATTACAAATGTTTAAAAAAGGGGGCAATATTGTTTACAATTGCAAGCTGATCCCCCCAAATAAAATATGTTTTCATACAACTAAACTGTGAATACGGCCCATTTGAACGATGGCCCATTTGAACGATGGCCCATTAATCTGAACCTTAAAGATTTCCCTTTGTTTCCAAAAGCCCAAAGGTTTTGAATGTTTAGTTTTATTAAAAATGTTTTAAATGGGCAGTATTGTTTAAAATTGTAAGCTGATCCCCCCCGAAAATTATGTTTTTATACAACTAAACTGCGAATTTGACCGATGGCCCTTTGATCTGAACCTTAAAGATTTCCCATTTTTCCCAAAAAGCCAATGATTATGTATAATTACCTTTATTACAAATGTTTTAAAATGGGCAATATTGTTTAACATCGTTTTTATACTCTAAAACTTTTTTCGACAGCCTGATATCCCGAAAATACACGCTTTCTCTCGTCCAATGGGATACTTTAGACTATTTGGTTTTCAAAATAAAGGGCCATCGGAACACACCGGAAAACATGTTTGTTTTTGTCTCGTACTTTAAACTTAAATAATCGTAAACGTTCTACAGAAGTCTATATGGAGGGAAATTATTTACTTTAATCAATTTTTGCTTCAAATAGTATATATATGGGTCCATAACAGATCATTAGGTTACATGCGTGCTGATGTATCTACATGAACATAAATCTGCTATAATATATATAATCACACACACACTCATCAGATGAACCTAGCGTTTCTCTGAGTTTCCTTGACTCCTTTCCTCAACTTTAACTATTACGCTCATTTAATTTAGTGCGTTACTTTTGTTTTTATCGCCCATTTATCATTATTACTTTTGTGTGAATGAAAGTGTCTTGGTTTATTTTCGCTTCTCTTTCTTGCTTCAGCTGTCGGGTGGATGCCTTGCTCAAGGACACGTTATGGAAACAGTTACTCATCACAGGTGTGTGTGTGTGTGTGTGTGTGTGTGTGTGTGTGTGTGTGTGTGTGTATGTGTGTGTGTGAAGGTCCAGTCATTACTGCTGTTACTCAACTGGAACTGGAGATTTCATCACACACAGACAGTTTATATCCACGGTTGCTATGGAAGTGAGTGTCTGCTTACATACACACACCGACTGTACTCAACCGTAGCACTTTAATGTGTGTGTGTGTGTGTGTGTGTGTGTGTGTGTGTGTGTGTGTGTGTGTGTGTGTGTGTGTGCGTGTGTCCTTGATCCTCTTTCATTATCTTGTCCTATCTAAACAAAAGGCGCTTTGTTTGTCAGGCTCTACGGATGGAAATGAGGCCCTGAGAGGCATCGAAGAAATGTTATTCTCTAAGTCTGATTATTATTTACCAAAACCTTAAAATGTTTATTTTCTAAAAATATCTCAGAA